CACCCAAACCAGGATGGCGGAAACGTCTGGGGGTGGATGACTTCATGAACAGTATCACAACATAATGTACAATATTGATCAAAGCAAACACAACCATCATAAATATAATTGAAAATGTTACATTGTTTCCAAGTATTGTATGTTTCAAAACCATTTACATTATGATGACAAAATGAATAGTATGAAGTTGTAACGTCCCATCCTCAAACACCATGTGAATACATGTTTAACGGTTTCCTGAAAATACAAGTAGTTTTGAAGAGTGTCAACAATTAAGTTGGTGAGTTCATAAGAGTTTTGTATGAGAAAAATCTATAATTCTGTCCTTGTAAAATGAGAGTGTTTGTTTCCAGAATATCTAATATTTCCTTAAAAATGAGTTGTAGTCTTAAAACCCTAAGACCAAAAATGTATAAGTATTCCTATACTTCAAATAGTATTACGTAGTTTTATTCTTATATCAAACCATTGGAACGAATGTTACCCCGTAAACTAAATGTATCGTTGATTTCTCATGTGAGTTATTACAACCATGCTAAAACCGAAGTTGGCCCGCTGCGACGTTCTTCAGACGTCGGAAGGTTAGACATTTGTCACCCCAGACCCGCCGATCTAGCTGTAGCTAGCAGCTTAGGTGCGAGATTGTTAGTCCCGTATAGATCTACACACAAGCATCACGCTCTCTTACAGAGATTCTGGTTATAATTCAGGACTTTAGTGTGTACTCTGGTAGGTATGGTGAAGGCTTTGTCTCACGTAATTGTTTCAACAAGTTCACGTTTTAGTGTAATGAAAACCCTTGTATGTGTAAATATCACTTTTCCATAGTATTTACATAGTGTATAATAATTATATACTTTTATATAATTATTTGTCTTGTCCCAAAATGTTATAATAGTGTTAATGACCCATAAACTATACCTATTATAGTTTATTATAAATATTTCGTTGTACCTATATATATACACATATATATAAGTTAACATGTTTAGATGTCTATGAATAACATATATTATACATCTAACACAAGTATATGAACTATGAGTATGATAAAGTCAGTTTTCTAGTTTTGACCTTTTTACGTCACCAAACGGTAAATATTGAATTATAAACTTTGCAAAATTTATTTTTACCTCTTTGTGAAGTTTAAGTCAAGCTAGCCTTTTATGTTTTAAACAACATATTTTAGGTCAAACCTTACAAAAATGGTACCATAATCTGGTTATGACAATTTTCGTTAGAAACCCCTAATTTTTACATGAAATGATAGATTTTTAGGTTTTCTTTTTGTAAAACCAAATCCTTGGTATTTATAATTAGTTTCATAACGTATTTCCAAAATAACATATTTTGATTATATCCCACAAAATGGTGTAATATCTTGGTTATAACCATTTTTGCTAGAAAAGTCATATTATGTTCATAAAACCTTAGTTTTTATAGTTTTGTTTTTATGACTTTTTCTTAAGAACATATAGCATGTTTATACTCATTTTTCATAGATTTGTATTTTAAACAACATACCACACATAAATGTTCATAATACTAGGTAATAACATTATTTCATGTAAATAACATTTTTACACGACATGAAAGTAATCATGTATAACAACTTGTACAATTATACATGTTTACTTGTATTCTCCCCCTAAAACTTGGATAAAGATGAAAATGAGGGGTATGAACTCACCTTATGTGTTTTCCCTAGAAGATGGCAAGAAATGGTGGAAAGATGAGATAAGAATCAAGTGACACCTTCTTGAAACTTCAAGATCTTGCCTAGAGTTTTTGATTTTAGATCATGAGTAAAAATAACCAAAATATGATGATGGATGGTGGAAATCTCGAAAATTAGGAAGAAAGACTCACCAAAAGACTTGCAAAAAGCTTGGAATCAACTTGGAACCCGTGGAATCACTTTAGAGAGAGTTGTATGAAATTTGAAGATGAAGAGAGGGAGGGGAAAGGCCTTCTCAGCCGTAATTTATATAGAGGAGGGAGGAGAGTGGGGTGGGGTGCATGGGGAAGGGAAGAAGCATGTTTGTGTGATTATTTAATTAGAAGTAAGCTTTGTAGCTTATTATAATCAAGTAAAGCCTTATGAATAAAATATTCAAGGCATGGGTTCTAGTATTATTCTAATATGGTAGAGATCATGAGTGTGTTGGGTGGAGAGGGAAATGTTGGGAGAGAGGTGAAATATTTTGTCTCTTATGGTTTTTATAAAAAATTCTAGCCCTTTTTATAAAAGTCTTATATTTTATAAACGTATAGTGTAATAAGAGAAATTTGTAGGGTTTAATATCTAACAAAAATATTGTTATTTAATATTATTAACAATAATATTAAAACCTTATAATTTGATTATTTCCTAATTTGTTATATAAAATATGAGTGTCAAATCGTGGCAACTTTCGTTTTCTTGATGTATGACATTTTTCCGAAAAACCACCGGAATATTAACTAAATACTAGGTCATATGATGTTTGGATCGTGTTTATGGATTTGTGAACACATAAACCTCGTGTTATGAACATTACCCAATTCCCGGTAATATTTGTGTATTTTATCGAATTACTACGTTACCGTAGTTTATTGTTCGCATTAAAAGCGTTTATTCGATAATGGATTCAGAATAGCATACGTAACATTATAATATTCAATAATACATTAGGGATGTTACGAAAATCACATTTCATCTTTTTGTCCTAATATACCCACAATTGACTTTTGTTGACCCTTGTTGCCTTTTGTTAACCGAAATTTGACGGATGTCATAATTTAAAAGAATAATTACATTTTGTTGAAAGTACAGCACTGAAAATTTAAAAGAATAATTACATTCTGAGCCGAAAGGCTCTTTTCTCGGGGCTTCGGGAGCCTCGGGGCTCCTTCGGGTGCTAGGGGGTTTACCTAGACTTTAGGGGGGTTAGGGAGCTTAGAGAGAGAGAGTACAGAGAGAGAAAGAAGAGGGTTGAGGGGTGAGGAAAAATGAGGGAACCCGACACTCTTATTTATAGGCTGAATTCCTGATGGACTCGCCGCGTCGAAGTACTGACTCGCCGAGTCCATGCCACATGTCATCTTTCTGGTGGCCAAACGTGTGTGGCCTGTATTGTGCCACGTCACCCCTTTTGCAGCAACACCCTGTCGACTTCTAAACCCCATAACTTTCGCATACGAACTCCGTTTTCGACGTTCTTTTTTTCCACGCGTAGGTAAAAACAACTTTTATTTAGACTCTGTCGGCTAATTCTTGACCGATCTTAAATTTAACAGTAGGAGAAGATTAGACCGTTAAATGACCGCGAAAAATTCGTAACTCCTTCATACAGACTCCGTTTTCGTCTGTCTTTTTACCATTGAGTTCCTATTAATGAGATCTTCAACTCTCATTTAGGTCGCGTAAGCCAAAAACCGCTCGAACTAAAATTCGAGTTTCGGGCCGTGCACTGCTAAGCCGAATCTTAGAAAAATCATAACTCCTCATACGATGTCAGATTTGGGCGTTCTTTTTATGGATGTTCTCGGTTTAACATATTCTATGACTTTCGTTTAAATTACTAAGGCCAAAAAGTCTTCTATCGTAAATTCACTATTTATTTACGCTTCCCGGTGCTGTGCCGGTTCCGTCGCGAAACTTCGACGGGTCATAACTTCTTCGTTATAACTCGGATTTCGGCGTTCTTTATTTGTACGGAACCCTTGAAACATATTCTACAACTTGGTTAAGATTATTTATTCTAAATAATCTTTTGTCGAAAAGTCATTTTCGACCCCTATTATTTCTAAATTGACTAGCCCGGATCTACGGGCGTTACAATGTTTGATCGGGCATGAAAACTTAAGGTTGGTGTTGGGTGTGAAACATGTTAGTAATTTTGAAAGTGTAACACTACTAGAAAACAGACCTTTAATGACATGCTTTTTACAACACGCACTGATTAATGATACGCAAAAGGGCGTGCCCTAAAAATAATGTTAGATCTTTATAAATTTAAAGAATTTAGGACTCTTATTTTTGCGTGCCCTAAAATTAATGTCTCAAAAAAAAAAGAAAAAAACACGGAGGGCGCTTATGTTAAAAGGCGTGTCATCTACAAATGTCGCTTTATAATTTTACAAACGCGCTCTTCAGCAACTTGCAGCGGGAAAAAGGAAATAAAAAAAAATTAGAAAACCCGCCTTCCTTCCTTGTTTCCCCTCTTTAGCTCTGGGTGTGTTCTTTGACCACAAAAATCTTCTCCGGTCTTCCTCCGCATCCTACATCGAGTGTTGCTTGCTTCTTTCCCTTGCACTCCGACCGCCGCCACTGATTCTTCCCCGTTCGTTGACATCGATCAAGGCTCACTTACTTCTACCCATTGGAACCATCATATCTCCCACTCGATGTTGAAATTGTCAGAAAAGCCCTAATTCAGTATTATACTCTCCAGTCTCAATAGGAATGCAAATCTTGATTCTCGTTCGTTTCTGATTCTCATTTGTTCTAACCATCTTTCCGTATTGATGAAAAATTATGGAAGCCCAAAAGCGGATACTTGAATTTCTGGAAACATGGGCCCATACACGAATGTTACGCTCAAAGGCCGAAGCACTGCACTCCTATATGGAATTGGAAAGCATGACTATTTTCTGTTAGAAACTACATCGGAATCGCAATCCGGAAACCCTCCAACATCATTTGCTCGAACAAGATTTCGTTCTTCTCTTCAGGTACCCCTATGCTCTTGCTCGATTTTCGTTCTACCCTTTCTGGTTCTTTTAGGGTTTAGATGCTCATGCTCTTCTCATAAAGCATCGCTTGCGGGTTTGTATTTTGTAATTTTGTTTTTTTATGAGGTTCTGACATATAATCATAACAATATGACTCTAATCCTCTCAGCATTCCATCATTGTTGCCTACAATCCAAGATCGGTTGCTTGAAAGCATTTCAGTAGTTCTTTCAAAACCCCAAAATACCCACACAGGGGCATCTGCAACTCCAAGTCGAGCAAACATGGCTAACAACATGCAACAAATGTCAGAACTTACTGGATCTGCTTTGGAGCAGCTTGCATTACAAACACTTGCACGATTCAATTTCAAGGTGCATTCAAGATTTGTATAACTCACAAATTAGGGACAAAAAGTGTAGTTTATTTAATTTTCTATTATTTACCATTACAATTTCATGCATGTAGGGGCATGATCTTCTTGAATTTGCAAGAGAATCAGTTGTAGTTTATTTGGAAGATGATGATGGAGCCACAAGGAAAGATGCTACTTTTTGCTGCTGTAAATTAGTTGTAAATTCTTTCTCAATTACCACCTTCAGTCCCAGTAGATCCAGTCAAGCTGGAGGCAAAAGAAGACCTCTTATAGAAGAGGTTTCATTAGTTTCTATATTATATTCTCCATTAAATATTTTTATTCTGTTTATTAAATAATAAATTCTCTCACTGTAGATTGTGGAGAAGCTTCTTATTGCAGCTGTAGCAGACGCTGATGTCACTGTAAGGAACTCAATCTTCTCATCCCTCCATGGAAATGGAGGATTTGAGGACTTTCTAGCTCAAGCTGATAGCTTGACTGCTATATTTGCTGCTCTAAATGATGAGGTATACATTACAAATTATTCATTCAACTAATTCAAAATGAGAATGATGTTTAATTACTTATTTATTTATTTTTAATATCTGTATACATGGTAGGATCTTCAAGTTCGGAAGTATGCAATATCAGTGGCTGGTAGATTATCTGAAAAAAACCCTGCATATGTTTTTCCAACACTTCGACGTCACCTTATTAAGTTGTTAACATATCTTGCACAAAGGTGAGAACTCAATTGTCTTGTCATTAACTTTTAAATGTTTAATAATATATAATTTAAAGACCATGTTTTTTATTGCTCTTAATTTAACAGTGCTGATAGCAAATGCCGAGAAGAAAGTGCAAAGCTGTTAGGCTGCTTGATTCGCAGCTGTGAACGACTTATACTTCCATATATTACTCCAATACACAAGGTCTTACACTCTTACTATTTACAAACCTTTCATATATATATATATATATATATATATATATATATATATATATATATATATATATTTGCATATTTAGTTATTCTATAAGCTGACATGGCATATTTCAGGCGCTTTTGGCTAAACTATGTGAAGGAACAGCAGGAGTGAATGCAAACAATGACATCATCAGTGGTGTTCTTGTAACTGTGGGAGATCTTGCTAGAGTGGTAGGAGATTGTTACATTATTTTTTTTTTGTTCTCTTAAGTGTAGAATGTTTGATTTGATGAGTCTTACTTGTATATGTGTAGGGTGGTTTTGCTATGAGAGAATATATCCCTGAACTTATGCCAAGAGTTGTTGAAGCTTTATTGGATGGAGCTGCTGCTACTAAACGTGAGGTTGCTGTTGCAACTCTTGGTCAGGTTGTACAGAGCACAGGGTATATATTCATCTTTACCAATATTACAAGTGACACTGCAATGTAGTTTACCCTTTTTAAAAAAAATGGTTGGTTTTTGTTTGTAGTTATGTGATAGCTCCATATAATGAGTACCCACAGTTCCTGGGCTTACTTTTAAAATTGTTGAATGGTGAGCTGGCATGGTCTACAAGGCATGAAGTTCTTAAGGTATGTTTTTGACCCTTTTCTAGTTTCTATGATGTTATGTACATAGATTCATGCTGAAAAAAATCTCTGTTAACAATGAATGATCAGGTTCTTGGAATAATGGGTGTTTTGGATCCTCATGTTCATAAGCGTAATCAACAAAGCTTGCAAGGACCTCTTGGTGATGGGACCCGTACAACCAATGATGCGGGCCCACATATCCAGTCTAGTGATGAGTTGCCAATGGATCTTTGGCCATCATTTGCAACATCAGAAGATTATTTCTCCACTATAAAGTTTTTTACCAAAAAGTAATAATAAAAAAGAAGTCGTACCTTTAATCCTTTAGTCTAATTTGCATTTATTACTTTTGCAGGTTGCTATCAATTCTTTAATTCGGATACTTAGAGACCGTTCTCTTTCTAGTTATCATCAAAAAGTCGTTGGCTCTCTCATGTTTATTTTCAAGGTTCGTTGACTTGAAGAACACATAATATACATACATATATATTATATAATTGTAGATTGTAGATTCTTTTTTCCTCTTCATTGATTTTTCTAATATCTTTTTTTAGTCAATGGGTCTTGGCTGTGTGCCTTACTTGCCAAAGGTTTTACCAGACTTCTTTCACACTGTTCGTACGTGTGAAGATACTCTCAAGGAGTTAGTTCATAACATGGAAGCTTGGAACTCTTGTTTCAATTGTGCGCCAGGTAGGATTGTATTTGACTTTGTACAATTACAAAAACTATTTCCTTAAACGCCACGCCATCATTAACCATTCTTGGTTGCTATTTCAGCACATTCGCAAGTATCTACCCAAGCTGCTTTCTTTAATATCAGAATTATGGTCATCATTCAGTCTCCCAGTAGCCAATCGTCCTGTTCATGGACCCCATGTAAAGTGTGCTTTTACTATCTGTCTTTTGTACAATGCATAGGTGTCAAAGGGCAATAATGTAATTTGACTTTCTGATCAGATCCTGCACCTAGTTGAACAACTTTGTCTGGCCCTGAACGATGAATTCAGGAGATATCTTCCTATAATTCTTCCATGTTGTATTCAAGTTCTGAGTGATGCTGAAAGGTGTAATGATTACACTTATGTCCGTGATATTCTTCGCACCTTGGAAGTTTTTGGTGGTGAGTGTGATTGTGATTGTGGAAATTATAATAATTAGTCTCCTAAGTCCTAACATGTCACTAATTTGTTAATTATTATATAATTTTGGTCTACAGGAACATTGGATGAACATATTCATCTACTTCTTCCTGCCCTCATACGTTTATTTAAAGTGGATGCTTCTGTTGACATAAGTCGAGCTGCTATAAAAACCTTGATACGATTAATCCCTCGTGTTCAGGTTAATGAATTATTATTATTATTATTATTATCTTTTTGGGTTTGTAATAAATATATTTATCATAAATTATTTGACTAAATGCCATCAATTTCTTTTCATTAGGTTACAGAACACATTTCAACACTCGTGCATCACCTGAAGCTTGTATTGGATGGGTATGTTAATAATGTTATTGTTAGTTTGTTACTCTCCCAACATGAATTCCTCTTCACTTTAAATTTTATTTTCTTTTAAAACATTTTTCATGCATGTAGAAAAAACGATGAGCTAAGAAAGGATGCTGTTGATGCACTCTGTTGTTTGGCACATGCACTTGGGGAGGACTTTACCATTTTCATCCCATCAATTCACAAACTTCTCATAAAGCATCGTTTGCGGGTTTGTATTTTGTAATCATTACTTAATTTCTTACAAAAAATCACGTGTTGCATTCTAGAAATATATACATGTTTTACATAAATTTCACTTTCAGCACAAGGAATTTGATGAGATTGAGGGGCGATTACAAAGGCGTAGACCTTTAATTGTTGTCAGTCTAGCAGCACAAAAGTCAATTCGACAGCCTCCTGTGGAGGTTATTAGTGATCCTTTGAGTGATATGGAGAATGATCCTTATGAAGATGTTCGTAAACAACCCAAAGTTTATCAGGTATTAAAACCTATATATTATTTAAACACGAAATTTTATAACTTAATCATGGTTTTACTTTTTCCAACAGGTTAATGATGCTAGATTGCGTGCTGCTGGAGAAGCTTCTCAACATAACACTTAAGAAGATTGGGCAGAGTGGATGAGACATTTCAGCATTGAATTGCTTAAGGAATCACCTTCTCCAGCTCTAAGAACATGTGTCAGGCTGGCACAGTTACAGGCGGAATTCATGGAACATGATGAGAAACCCCTTCCCATTGACATTCAGTTTCTCAACATACATCACACAGATATATATATATATAATATATATATATATATAATATATATATATATATATAAAACAAGTTTTTTCTTTTTGTTTACATCACAGGGAAGATGTAGTCTCTCTGATGCTGAAATTGGCACTGCACCTCTATTTTCTAATCATGGTAACATACCTTTTTGTTTTTATTTCTTACTATAATCATAACTCCATTTATGTTATATTAATTTGATTTTTTTATTTGTTTTTATGAAAAGCTTTAAGAGCTGCAATTGTAGCTGTTAAACGTGAGGATGATCGAAGGCTCTTTCACAATGCTGCAATGTGAAAACAAAGAAGAGAAGTCAGTGACAGATGGGTATATATTATATAATCAAAACACTATAATTATAAATATTTATTTTTTTTACTAAAAATAAATTATTTGAGTTAAAATGGCATGAATGATTTCAGGTAAATGGGGATGGTAATTCTGAAAATGGGTCCCATAGATGTGTACAGTATCCAATTTCAGTAAATGAGAAGGTTGTTATTTTTATTTATTTCACTTTTTTTTCTACGTGAAAATATACTGACAAAAAATACATTACATGACATGATATGTTTGTTGAGTAGCTTTACGGGTTCTCATGGGTGGTGTTAGATGGAATTGTGATGATATACTCTCTAGTTCATAGGATCAAGGATTGTCATTGTTGATGGCTTTATAGGTAATATTTACCATTTGTATGGGGGTATTCTTGTCATTGTGATTGTCATTGTTGATATCAGGTAATTCATATTGTAGTGTATTTATTCCAAATCCCACATTCTTTGGATGGAGAAAAGGGTAATTTTGTCTTTTACAACTAACATTCCATGTTTGATTCTTCTAATAATTATATTAGCATATTAATTTTTTGACTTTTATTTGATGAAGTCACAAGAATTATCGGAGCAGGGGTTCAATATTAGCCTTAAGGAATTATGAAAGGCAAGATACAACTCTACTTAGTTGGAATTTGATGGTTATCATCTTTGTGTATATCTTTTTAGTTTGTATAGCATTACATTATAGAAGGTGTCCCTTAATAGCAATGTAGTATTAGGTTATATAGTTAGGGAAAACCTCTTAATAACAATGTACAATTAGATCCCCTTAATATCAATGTATTACAATTTTTTGACATGATGTTATTGGATGAAATTGATTGTTTTGGTATATATTTGTTTACATATTTTTGTATTATGCGTAAATGAGTATCGTAAAGACGCGTCGTAAATGCATATCGTAAATGGTTACTGAAGTTTATTACACGCAAATGCGTGTCATCTTCATTTATGACAGGCGCTTCCTTGATACGCATTGCATGTCATAAACACGCGCGTTGTAAGGTTACGACACACAAATGCGTGTCGTCTTCCTTTATGACAGGGCCTTCCTTGATACGCATTGCGTGTCATAGCTGTGCGTCGTAAATGCGTGTCATAAATGTGCGTCGTAAATGCGCGTCGTAAATAGACGACGCGCAAAAGCGTGTCATCTCTCGTTATGACAGGGCCTTCCTTGACACGCATTTGCGCGTCGTCTGAGCGTTTTACGGCACGCATTGTGCGTCGTAAAAGACTGTTTTCTAGTAGTGTAAGAAGATGGTATACTTGTGATAATCACTAGTGTATCTGGGTATCTCGAACTTAGCCTTGTAAATTTTGCCATAAGAGGAATGGTTTGTACTTAAATTAAGATATTCGAAGTAAAGATGGTAGGGTAAGAACTACGTAAAGAAAAGCTTGTGGGTCAAAGGGATATCCTATGTTAGGTTTTAAGCTCAAGGTGGAAACAACCTAAAGCTAAATTCGTAGTGTAGAAGAGAAACCCCACGTATCAGTAGCAATGGGTTAAACCTCTATGTCTCCTCGTGAGTCGGATTGGGAATGCTCTCCAATGGCATCCATGTGATTACTCATAGAAACTCATCTACTTTCTAACATGATGCTCCAATTATCATCCGTGTCGGTATCAGAACGCTTTTCCTATTTGTAACTCTGGTACGAAGACGATGAAGAGGTATTGAGGTATAATTGGTATAGGTTTCGACTTAAGATTATTACTAGTGTCTATCTAGCTACTAACCTTACATCTAAAGTCAATAGATACCGAGGAATATTCATTCTTAGTGCTAAGTGGAGTGCTTCTAGAGTGGCTAGTGATATAACCTAACTGGTTAACCTAGAACTTGATAAGGGATAAGAATATTTTTAAATAAAGACATTGTTATAAAAGTGCACTTAGTTTCTAAGTGTACCTAGATGAATGACTATAATATGCAATGCCAGAACGCACACTGAAAAATTTTTGTTTTTCAAAAGTTTGAGTTGTAAATTGTTTTGAACATAGCTCTACTATAACTGTTTCCAGCGTCACATTAATTTTCCTTAACTTTGCATAGTTGGTCAGACTGTACTTAATTAAAGTCCAAGAATGCGTATTCAAATTAGTTATAATAGTAGTATGTTCAGTATTTAAAAAAAAGCATTTTGAATTTTTTTTGGCTATAGTTGTGGTTCTCTAAAGGAAAACCAGTGTTCTCTATAACCTTCGGATCTGATACCATTTCTGTCAAACCCCGCTAAAGCGGAAACACTGGATGCGACAGTACAATGAGTCTCATAGCAAAAGTTAAAAGCAACACCAACCATAGTATGACAAGCATTATAATTTACAATAAGTTTGAACAACGTTTGATTAAGTTACAATACACAAAAAAATGTAACACATGCGAATGCTTTTACAAGTGTTGTGTCTCTAGGTGCCTATTACTAGATGATTCCTGAAAAAGCATGTAAAATGAGTGGTCAACTACCGAAATAGTTGGTGAGTTCACAGGTTTATAACATAACATAGTTTTAAATCATGAAAATCATAATATTGATAAAAGTTTCCAAAAACAGAAGTTCGTTGCTAACAAGAGTATTACAGTTTCCAGTAATAGAAGTTTGTTGCTATAATGAGTAAACAAGTTCATTGTTATCAAAAGAAATAAAGTCCGTTGTTATCATGAGAAGTAAAGTTCTTTATCAACAAGAGAAGCAAAGGTTGTATGTGTGTGGTGATCAAATCATGAGTTCACAACCCAAGCCTAAGACCGAATGCCCTCTTGAATGCTATGTCTATCGCTAACATAGGGAGAAATATGGTAAAATGCACTCAAGCGAATCGTGCGAGTGAGGAGTTGTCTACCTCCTAATAGCACTATCCATAATGACCATGGGATCAAAAGAGTTAATGAGTTGTGCCAAATGTTTCCAGGGACCTAACCGCGATACAAGCCTCGTGAATTAAAGTAACATACACATACATGCACAATATAGCAACCAAGTTTGATACGAGTCAAAATAAATACAACGAACATAAATAGTTTAGGACATGCTTTTCTACCCCAAAACATTTAAAACCCGAAAATAAGGGGGACGTGAATACTCACAATGCTTTGAGATAATGCAAATGGTGCCTTGAACTACGCTTCACTCGTACCACTATCGATTCATACAACGATGTTACACACTAATGAGTCTCTAATTGAAATCGGATACTCCTATACTTACTACTACAATAGAATTATGTCAATATTGTGTCAAAATTTAATATTGTTAAGTTACAAACATTTTTTTTGTGAAATTTAGATTTCTATGAATCAATTTATTGTATAACAAATTCAAGTGGAAATCCCCATTATTGAAATGTAAAAATTTAACTTTTTAGGAGGTGTTTCAATGATTAATTATTCACAAACTAAATCAATTTAGTTCCAAAAATTTTCAAACATTGTATTTTCGTTTTAACTGAAATCAAAGACCTTAAGATAAATTTTCTTGAATTCTTGATTTGTCTAACTATTTTTCACTATTTTAATTTCTTGAATAATCACAAAATCATGAAAAAAATAGTAAATAATCATGAAAATTCTTACACTTTTTGTGTAACTGTTTCACAACATCCATAAACTGGAAAAATTATTAAATGCTACTTTTGAATAATAAAACCTAGCTTTCATAATTTAATTGTGTTTTACATCAAGGAATTCTAATTAAATAGAAAATAGTAACGGAAAATCACACAACTTTTTATTTGTCTTCCAATTGAAGTAAAACATTTCTAGAAAATGTTTCATGCATTTTAGATATGTATAGCCATTTTTTCTATATTTAATTCTCTAAATCGATACAAGTTCATGAAAAATAGCAATCAGTTAAGAAAATTTCCCAAACTTTTTTACTAGTGTTATTAGACATATAAAAGCTGGGAAAAATATAAAAGTTGGTTTCTAGACAGTTTAGATATTTTTCTTTGTTTTATTCACTTAAATACGCATTAATTCGTGAATAATTATTAAACAATAAATGAAAATTACCAAACTTTTTGTAAAACTCATATACAATGTACATAAGCTGAGAAAAATACCAAAATTGATTTTCAATAGTGTAACACAATTTTATGATTTTTGTGTGTTTATTCTAACAGAGATGAAGATAATTAGAAAACAATATGTCAAAAATTTTCAAACTTGGTGTTCCACTTTTATTAAATATATATAATCTGGGAAAAATGCCAAAGGTAATTTTCATATATAGGAGTCTGATTTTCATAATTTATGTGTATTTAATAAAAAATTAGAATAAATATATTAAACAGTTAAGATAATTCCTAAAACTTTTTGTAAAATTGTTTCATGTTGTATATAATATGAGAAAAACATCAAGAGTCGTTTGTAAACAATGGAGTCCCGATTTTTGGATTTATGAATGTTTAATCTTAGGAAAATAGGAAGAAAATAGCAAACAGTAGAGAAAAGTCACTAAACTTTTTATTTGTTATC